ATTTTAAGATCCAGCTTAATCCCAACTGCAATCACAAGCTTTAAGGCCCACAAAATTCTAGTTAAGCAATCTATTTGTAATGCCCTATTCATATTTTTTACTGTGTACTTTCATTCTCTTACCCAGGCTAAAGTCTCAAAGCACAAGGACAATGTCCCATCTCTCCATAACCCCCAATGAACTTCCCACTAAGTGAGTTTGCAGCAGCTGCTCTGCAGTGCTTGGCTGGCTATGAGGCCATGCCATAGCCATTAGAGAAACAAGTGGTCAAGATACACTATAAACCACGATGGAAATCCATATGGAGATTCCTCAAAAAATAAGAAATTCCATTCAACCAAGGTAACTCCCTTCTAACACTTTTTCCAAAAGAGTTAAAGACATTCTATACAAAGATACACACATGCCTATGTCTATAGCAATATAATCCACAATGGTTCAATCTTTGAAGTAGCCTATATGCTCATCAACAGGTGAATGGATAAAGAAAATGTAGTATACATTGTATACAAATGTAGTACATATACAATGAAATACTACTCTGCTTTAAAGAATAAATTTGAGTCATTTGTAGGAAAATGTACCCTGAAACCATAATACTAAGTAAAATAAATAAGATACATAATCTTAAACATTACACGGTTTCTCTAATCTGAGAAATTCACAGTATAAATACACTGAATAGAAATATAAAAGATAAGTAACAGGAAAACAGGGAGATAGGTCTTTTGCAAATAGGAAGGGGATCAAAACATGGAGTGAGGTACACATAAGTAGAGGAAAAGGGAATGTAAAAAGAAGATGTGTTAGTGTGCACATTTCAATTCTCTGTGATAGATCATATATACTACAAACATGTACTAACGATTTTTTAAATTTAAAGGATATTACAAGATTGACTGTGAAAGCAGCTCCCTTCACTTTTTTTCTTCCCCCTTACATGTACAAATTTGTAAACATGAACTTTTAAATCAAGAGCATCATCCAAATTTAACATCAGTAATGTGTAGCTTTCTTTTAACTGATTCACAAGTGCTAATGGCCATATTTTCTCTTGATCTGAAGTGAGCATAGTAAGTATAACTTTTGGATGTCTGGTTGATCCACGTTCTATACTTCCACTTAATACACAATCTCCATGGTTACTAAGTTCCAGTGTTTGTCCAGTATGTCAACACATACGGCATTATGCTACTTCCACTCTTGTAACCAAATTTTCAGGAAACATCTAGAATAATATCAGAGTTGGTATTTGATTAAAACTACGTCTTTGCCTTATTCATCAGGAAGCAACTAATTTCAACCCTTATGTTTACCCTGAGCGTGGATGCATATGTTTCAGGACCTTGCTAATACTTACCGCACAAACACAATGGACTCATTATAATCGCCAAAAAATTCTGAAACAGTGAACAAAAACAAAAAATTCACATCCTCCACCCTGACAGAGCTACTTGAGGTACTGCACTACTGTGCAGTACTGTTAGTACTGTTCTCTATCACAGGTTGAGTATCTTTCATTCAAAATGCTTGGACCAGAAATGTTGTAGATTTTGGAGTATCTGCATATACACAATAAGGGTCTTTGGGATGGGACCCAAGTATAAAACACAAAATTTATTTATGTTTTAAATAAACTTTGTATGCATAGCCTGAAGGTAACTTCACACAGTATTTTTTAGGGTACTTGCAACTCATCATATGAAGGCAGGTATAGAATTTTTCACTTGCAGCATCAGGTTGACACTCAGTAAGTTTTGGACTGTGGAGTACTTCAGGTTTTGGAATTTAGGGGATTAGGGATCTTCAACTTGTACTCACTACTCAAAGTCAACCCCAAAGATCCTCAAACTCACTGGGCATGGTGGTGTACACCTATAATTTCAGGGGGCTGAGGCAGAAAAATTGCTGCCATCTAAGGCAGCCTGGGCATACAGTGAATTCAAAGCCAGTCTGAACTACATAGCAAGACCTTGTCTCAAAAAAACTCAGTCTAATATTATAAAATGAAAGTTCCAGAACACTGGTTTCAAATTCTTGTTACACACTAGAAGAATTAATACAGTGTCATATATACCAATGCCCAGCTTCCCCTTCCTTCTCTCATTGCCCTATAAAGATTTTAATGTGATTGGTTGGGAGTGAAATCTAAGCATCAGTATTTTATGAAAAGTACATTAGCTATACTGCATTGCAAATATATTAGGTATAACAGCACTGGGGCTGTATTTTTTAAAAGGAATTCTTTGTTAGCTGGAAACTTGGTGGAACTTAAAGTCTCCATTTAGTTAACAGTATCATACCAATACTAATTTCCTAGTTCTGATCAACTGTATTAAAGTTTATATAAGACACTGACTTTGGGAGAACTTCCAATGGGGAATATTTAGATATTCTCTGAAGTATTTTTGTGACTTTTTACTGTCTAAAATTAATTATAATGTTTTTAATGTTAAGCATTTATAAAATTACTTTTCAACTAATACATAAAACAAAAACTGCATATACTAGTAGGGTAATGTGATGTTTCAATGCATGTATAAATCAGGTTTAAACAATCTATCACATCAATTAAACCATCCATCTCCAAAAAAGGTTTTAAAGAATCTTTACTTTTGAAAAATACATCTATAAATATTTATGAATGAAACAACACTATAAAACAGCCTTAGGGAGGGAGGGAGGGAGATGTAGATGACACAGGAGTGTTCACAGCTAATAAATACAGTAACTAGATAACGAGTACATGAAACTTCACTGTATTAGTCTTCTTCAGGGTATGTGCAGAATTGGAAGGATGAAAATCTCAGGTGATCTTAACACATACCTAGGACCAAGAAACGCTGCTCTAAAGACTTGACACTGCTGTTAATAAGGAGCTCTGTCTGGCATACCTAGATAGCAAATACTTTACCTAGCTCTCTGACACTGAGTCAGTCACTTCATCTCCCTGTAGCACACTATCCTAAACTGCAAACAAGATATGGATCTTTTTTAAAAAAGGCAATTTATTATTTTAAGATCATCTCTTTAAGAGCTAATGTCAAAGTTATCATCTAGCACAACAGTCAAAAATGGTAAACTTTTATGTCAAGAACACTTCCAAGTCAATGTCCTAAAAAAAGTTTACTTCCAAGGCATGTTAGTAGCTATTACCTAAGATAAGGGTTCTGAGGTAAGTTTGAAAAGTGCTGGTTCTTTTTGTAAGATACATAAGAACTTTAAATAACATGTATTACTTGGGATTAGTCTCTGTAGAAGCCATTTTGAAAATAGTGCTTTGGATCGATAGTTCTCAATCCTATCTAATGAAGAGTGACATTAGTATTATTTGGTAAACTTATGAAACAATTATTCAAAGATCACACCCTATACCTCTTGAAGGGAGTGGAGAATTCAGTATTCAAACAAAAATACCCAAGGGAGTGTGGCATGGAGGCACATGTGGAACCCAAACACTCTTGGGAGACTGAAGTAGGAAAGACTACAAGTTTTAGGGAATCCCTGGGCATGGAGCTTAGTGCAAAGGTCCTGGTTTGATCCCTAGTAACATTTTTAAAAAGAAAGAAAAGAAAGAAAAGTTACTGCCAATACAAAGTAGCCCTTGAGAATTAGAGTTTTACAAGACCATAATATAGAAAAGCCAAGTTTATAATATTTCAAAGGCCACATCAATTCCAAATAATTCAGAAGCTCTTACAGTTCTTTAATACTAGTATTTCATCCATAGGAAAAGGGTACCTATATGCATACAAAATTTTAGTTTTGGGGGTTTTTTTGTTTTGTTTTGTCTTTTTGATACAGAGTCTAACTATGCAGTTCAGGCTAGCCTTTTGCTCACTTTGTAGCCCAGGTTGGTCTCGAACTTGCAATAATCCTCCCGAGTGCTGAGGCTGCAGGTGTGTGCCACCACATCCAGTTTTTATAAAGTATTAAAACATTAGAAGTGTTGATCAATTTAAATCCTTTAATACAACTAATGACTACTTCATAACTTCAAGGATCAATGATCTCTATTATTAATCTAAGGTTCTGTGTGTTTCTCCATGCCCATCTTCTTTTACCAGAGTTAATGACCCAGGGCCCATTTCGTTAAATTCAGTGTCAGTCACACACATGGCTTTTCCAAGACAAAGCTCCTTTTTTTCCTTATATGACACTACCGCAAGCATCAGAAAAACTCGATTGGAAACTTTGGAAACTGTATTTACTCATACCCAGAACTATGACAATTATATATATATATATATATATATATATATATAAAATAGTTTATATATATATAATGGTCAATATATTTCAATGCTTAAAAGAATTATCAGCTAAATATTATTGGTAATTATATAACATTTGTACCAAGTTCTTCAGTTCACTAAGTTTTTTCACATGAATTATACTGTGTCTTTCCTCCCAAAAGCCCTGTGGGTTAAGTAGGCATAATTATTTCTATGCAACCAGTAAAAATCGCTGAGCATTTCATGTGCTAATACAGTGAAAAATGTAACTGAGGGAGATGTTAAGGCTCCTACTTTCAAAGAAATGATAACCTGCTAGAAAAGAAAATACAAATTGGATACAAGAAACAGCTAAAGCCAACTCAAAGCAATATTGTTAGAGGAGTAAAGTAGCATGGCAGGACACATGCCATCAACAGTTAACACTTACTTGCATAATTTCATTGTCATTCAACCCTTTGGGTAGGTTATTACAATCAGCCTCATTTTTCATGAACAAACTGAGAAAATGAAGTTAACTCATCATAGTGAGCTGAGATTTAAACTCCTGATTTGCCTAGTTCTGCAGACCACTCTTTTCATCATCACATTTTACTGGTAGGAAAGAATCTCCCCAAACGAATGGAGACAAAACATCACATCTCAGATGGAAAATGACTACCTTCCATAAAGCTGGGATTACCGGCTACATTGCCCAGTAGAAAGGAATCAGAAGTTACAGAGATTCACAACGATCAGCAAAGCTCCTTCCCCACAAAACCTTACCTCCTTGATTCGTTTAACTAAAGCATTCTGGTCAAAAGCAACAGCCTCCGCACACTGGTGCAGGTGATCCTGATATCGAAGGCAGAGCTGCAGCACCTGCTGAGAATCCAGTTTCTCCAACTTGGCATTTGTCGGGGAGGTCTGGCCACTCAACAGCCCTTCAACACAGAAAAAGAGAATCAAATGAAATGGAAATTTCTGCTAACAAATTTTTGAATAAAACTAGGGTAATGAGTTCACTGAAGGGAAGAGAAGAAATTTAATTTTGCACCTTTTGCTGTAGACTAATCAGTCCAAATATCATTCATGGAGGATCACCACTTGTGCCAAATGCAGCATTCCTGTGCATTATTTTTCACACTCATATTCTAGAAAATAATGTACTATTTGCCTCATTTAACAGATGAGGTAGCCAAGACCAAGAGAGACTGAGTAACTTCTGAAGTCATTTAGTCAGTAAGATACAGCTCGGACCTTATTAGGCTACCGATACATCCAGGAGTTAGGAATATAAATCCCATTGACTAGACAATGTATTGATTTCTTTTAATAATTAAAATGGTTGTCTGAAAAACAAATACTATAAAATGTATAAGAGAATTAAAAGGAAATTCTAAAAATGAAAAAAACTTACGAAGTAAGTGGGGTATCAACTACCATGACCAAACTCTCTTTACGCTTTCTCAGTATCACTTTAGTAACATAACTCTTCTGAATTTAACGTAGGGCATTACATTTTCAAAGTCTTTTATATATAATTATCTGATTTGTCTTTCTAGAACAGGGTAAAGTTATTAGCATTTACAGAAAAAGAATTGAGCCAGATACACTGGTATAAAACTGTAACCCCAGCACTTAGGGAGGCTGAGGCAGGAGGATTTCAATATCAAGTCTGATTTGGGCAACTCAGTGGGTGGGACTCTACATCAAAGTAAGAAAAGAGGAAGGGGAGAAGTAGAGAGAAAGAGAAAAAAAGGGAGAAAGGCAGAAGACAGGGAGAAAAAAAGGTGGGAAGGAGGGAGGAAAGAAGACAAATGGGGTTGGGGATGTACAACGGCTCAGTGGCAGAATGCTCTAGGTTTAATTCCTAATACTTCAGTACCCCTGCACACATAGAAAAACAAGAATCAATTACAGAGGCTAAGTGAGTTGCCCATGGTCATAAAGCAAAGAACTAAATCCTAAGCCTATAGACTATGGCCAACTGCTGCCAATGTACCAGTCTCAAATCTTTAAGTATCAGAACCCTTTTAAATTCTCAGAAATTATTCCAAAGAGCTTTTGTTTATGTGTTAAATTTATTGCTTTTCACATAGTAATTAAACCTGGGGAAATTCCTAAATTTTAAATCATTTAAAAAACAATAACACCATTACAAATAACATATTTTAAGAAAAATGGCTATATTTTTTCCAAAACAAAAAAGTAAGAAAAATGAGACTGGCTTGTCTTTTTAATGGAAAGAAGCTGGATATTCTCAAATATACTTGATGGAAAGTAGCTGAATATTCTCAAACATGCTTCTGTATTTAATCTATCATTATTCAGCTCATGAAACTTCTGGAAAATTCCATAGCAGACATGTAAGAGAATGACTTACAAATAAAGTCTAAGTATTATTGCAAAAATAGATTTGACCTCACATATTTCCCAGCAGAGCCTCAGTGATCTTAAACATTCATTCCCCTACTACATTCTGAGAACCATTAGGCATGCCATGCCATCTCATACTACAGGCAGTGCCACAGTGCAAGGTACAATGAAATACAGGTGACAATGGGGTACAAGCTGGAACATAACTGGACAGACCCACCCCATCAAAGCTTATCTCTGGGACCCTTCCTCACTGCTGTCTCTCAAGAACCAGTTTCAATCCCTTACTTCTCTGATATGTTGGGGCTTAAGCCAATGATTACACCTTCAAAGTTGGCTGGCAGAAAGGGCTCCCCAGAGAAGCTTCTGACATGCTGGTCAGTGCTTTCAGATCTTTCATGGACTTGAAGAGCTGACTGCAGAATTGGAAGTCCCGTATCACACAATGCCAGCTCTAAATCCCCAGCTGACCCACTGCAGTTCTAACACAGAAGCACATCTGTTGCAGTCAGGGGTTGTACACAGAGAACAACTAGGCTTAGGACATGGAGTTTATAATATTTTTATAATAGTCACCGGAAGTTAACACAGGAAAATGCAGGAAATCTGTCCGCAACACCAAAGACATAGGTTATTTATTCAAGAGCCTAAACCCCACAGCAATGTCCCACATGAGTCCAGACAAAAACCCGGAGCTCAGGATAATGCCTCCCACGAGTCCAACTGGAGGTCTAGAGCCCACACGAAGGACTCACACCAGTCTCTTTTACGGATCCGTGCCGGGAAGACCCAAAGGTCAGCAGTAGAAGCCAGAAAGTCTATGCCAGCAGGATGAAGGAGCTGTGCTAGTGGGATGAGGGTTCTACACTGTTGTGAGTGTGACTCCACAAGAAGTCACACTCACAACAAAGGAGCAGGGCTGTCCTGGAAGGCACCATGGCCATCCTCAGCGACACGGAGGCCTGGAGCTCCTCCAACGACAAGCACAGTTGAGTACGTGCCAGGAAGCAGCATGACGAGTTCATCCTGGAGACCAAGCAGCATATGTCTTGCCCTCCGGAGCGAGGAAGCAATGCTCAATATGAAGACCAAAGCTTCTCCAGGAGAACCAACAGTTCAGACAGCAACTTGTAGGAGAACCCACAATGCCTCCTTAATGCCTCGACCCTTCACACCTCCCTTCTTCTCCACCTATTTATCCTGGCAACCCTCCTCAGGTGGAGCATCTTCGCTCAATGCATGCTGATGTAATCCAGCTGGCGTTAAGTTGACCACCAGTTCTCAATTCATAACAGCATCAGTTACTTGAACTGAACCTACATTCAGGTAGAATCCTGGGTGAATTTGGTAGTATAAGAGAGATTTTTTCATTGAAATTTTTACTAAGATCTTATACTCTTTACCTAGTTTCCCACAACTGTAACATCTAATACAATATCATAACCAGGATCCTGACACTGATGTAATCCACTAATATTCAGATTTCTCCATTTTACTTATACTCATTTATGTATTTAGTTCACATTTTTTTCACATGTGTAGGTTCATGTATCCACCAATATAGTCAGATTCTAAAAAGTTCATCACATGAAAATGTTACATAAATGAAATAATACAGTAAATAACATTTAGGGTATGGAGCATTTTATCAACATAATAGATTAGACATTATTTTGCAGTTGCAAGACATTTTTATAAATTGTTGATGTACCAATAATTAGTGTTTTTTTATTTCTGAGTGGTATTCCATGGTATGTTCAACCATAGATCCACTGAAGGATACTTGGGCTATTTCTATTTTGAGACTATATTTTGGGACTATTATAAAGCAGCTGTGAGTACTCATAAGCAGGTCTTTGTATAAACATGCCTTCTCATTCTTCTGTGATACTTGTCTGAGAATGCAAGTGCTAGCTCATATGGTTTAATTTTGTAAGAAAATGCCAATTTCCCAGAGTGCCTGTATAAAGAAAGGGGAAATTTTCAGGCTAATAAATCTAATGAAATTATCAATAGATAGCTTACTACTGGCAAGCAAACCAAGGGGGAAATATTTGTTGTGAGTTTAAGAGTAAAGGAAGAAGAGGTAGGCACCAAGGAAAGAGGAATGACTTTGTATCATCAACAGTGGGCCATTATAATGTTACAAAAAAAACCATGAATAAATGCAGCAATAGTAAAATGCTTCATGGCAAAAACTAGGAGTTAAAACATCTGAAAACCCGGGGAGAAAGTTCACAAGTCATATTGCAAAGGCCAACCTTCCGAATATACAAAGAGTTCCTAGCAACTGGCAAAAAGGAGGAGGAGGGGGAGGATATGGAAAGGCATTTCATTAAAAAATGAAATACCAAGGCCTTATTCAGAAGATGGACAACTCATAAGAAAAACAAAACTTCATTGCACAGCACTTCAAAGGTTGAGGCAGGAGAATCACCACGAGTTTGAGGCCAGCCTTGTCTATACAGTGAGTTCATAGCCAGCCTCAATGACATAGCGAGACCCTGTTTCAAACAAGAAAAAAACAAAACAAAAATTTCATTTCAAGCCCTGTCAAACTGGAAAAAAATCCAAAAGCCTGAAAAACCTTCCATAGGTGGTGCTGTGAAGAAACAGCATTTGCTGACTAGTACATAAATTGTTAATGCTGCTATGGAGAGGATACATGGACATGGATGTAGCGATTTTATTACTAGTAATCTACACATACACTACCACACATGATAAATGACATACAATGTTCAGGGAAGAATATGCACTGTGGCAGAAACAGTAACAGTAAAAGGTCAGCAAAAGCCCCAATGTTCACCAATAAGGGACATGTTAAGTCAAAGTATATCCATAAACAGATGAACCTAGGAAAGAATAAAAAAGCCCTTCAAGTACTCACATTTTCTAGTATGTTAGAAAATCTCCATAAGGTATTAAGTATATATAAAATGAAGTGTGCTATCACTGTGTAAAAATGGGAGTGGGACAAGTAAATAAAAGTATGTTCAAATTTACTTACATTTACATTAAGAACTATTTAGTAGAATTAAGACAGCAAACAAGGACGGGAGAGAGACCTTGATAGTATACTTTTTTTTTGGTCTTTTTCATTTTTATCGGTACCAGGGATCGAACTCACAACTGCCTGCTTACAAGGCAGGCGCTTATGCCACTGAGCTAAATCCCCAGCCCCCCGATAGTATACTTTTAACTTATTTTCCCCAGTACTGGGGATCGAAGCAGGGTTTTGTTACTGAGCTGCATCCCCAGCCCTTTTTCTTTCTTATTTTGAGACAAGGTCCCATTAAGACACCTAGGCAGGGCTCAAACTCATGATCCTCTTGTTTCAGCCTCCTAAGAGTGCTGGGATTTTAGGTGTAGGTCAGGGACACCACATCTTCCTTTAACACAATTTTTTAAAACAGAATGAATGCATTTCTCCTTAAAAACTTTTTAAATAAACTCATTTTAACAACAACAAAAAAGTGGCCAAGGTTTTTCCATCTATCAACAAAGTCTTCTTAGGTAAATCTCTCTTCTTCCATTCCAGGCACCCCATTCTAATTAAAAACCA